CAGTGGCCACGGTGGCAGTGGTGGAGGCTATACACAAGCTCAGCAACACAGACGCCCACGCACCACAGCTGACCTGGCGATAGTGTCCAGCCCGCCAGCAGCAGAGGCATCACTGATCTGATGTGGACCATCCTTAGGGCGATCAGCCAGCTACCTGGGGGCAGGATGCTTACATTGGACCAATTCCGTCATAGAAGGGCTTTGTCCTTACTGGAACAGATGTGTACTCTGGTATTGACTTGCCTTCCTTACATGCAGTGTTTCTGCCAAAACTACTAACCACGGTCTTCTGAAATGACTTACCCACCGTCATGGTATTCCACACAGCCACACACCTGGGCTCATAAAATGCACTGGTCTTACAGGCTTCTCCGTCACCCTGAAGCAGCTGACTTTAAAATGGTGGGGATGCACTTACAGCACCGGCCGCGTAACAGGACTTTGCAGGCCTGGGCATGGTTCCAGAGATGATGCTGAGTCAGTGCGTCATGTATGGTACCGGTTCCCCTCTATTCAGGACTCACAGGCCCAGGAACTGAGAGGCAGGAGGGAGGGCGCCGCCCACCATTAACCCTAGCAACACACTTGCAGCATTTTCGCTTCCTGTTCCCATGACATTCCACCCACCTAGGTGACTTAGTGCCAGAGGAGGACGCATCTCCCGGGACATACGATGATTCCATGGGACTTCTACCTGGCCTCTTTGGGGTCCTCATGCCTCTGAGCCAAGAAGGGAAGGAGCTACAGAGTGGCTAGGGTTGAGCCAGCTCCTAAGGGGAAGCCGAACTCTACGACAGGGAGGAAGAGTAAGTAGAAAACAGGTTCTCTTAGGGCAGCTGTCACGACCCTGTAGAGACTAAGGTCAGGACGGACTATCAACACCCAGTCCACTCAGGACTGAGGCTTGGGGATGTCCAGGGAGGAGCTGACCCAGCTGAGGTGTCTGCTGAAGGCAAAGGGAGTGCACAGCGGATGGCGGAAGGTGGCCGTCCCAGCGACAGCTCCGTGGCCAGGGACACGGAGGGCTGTGACCGTCACGAGGACTCCACCACGCTGTTAAGAGGCCTGTGTGCTTCCATGTGGATTAAGCAAACATCTCTGTTCTGTCCTCCCTTACTCCGTCACATGACGTAAGATGTATTGACTTTCTATCGATGCGCTTCATTTTACCTCCTATGTTTAGGCCATGGTAATCCTGTGAGTATGCTTTTGGTTGTATGCGGGAAGGTTGTATGTTTGATGGAGTTACAATGTTATGAGTTTGTTACTGTCTTTGGAAGTTAAGTACGGCTTAGAGATGTATATGGGCGACAAGGTGATACAAGGTTGGCTAGTTTGGGGTGTCAGTTTGGGTTGAAGGGTACCTGGCAGGCTGGTGAGATGTTTCTATGTTTGTCTGTGAGTGCTGCCAAACGAGACCGTCCTGGGGGCCAGCTGGCCGAGAGGAAGACCCGCCTTCACTGTGGACTCACACCGTCCACGGCTGCGCGTGCCGGAGGCGGGCTTGCTTCCTCCTCGTCCCTGCTCCCCTCCGACTCCCCTCCTCTCCTTGCCTTCCAGAGCGCGGCGTGTGTTCCCTGCCAACTCCGCCTGCTCTAGCCCTGCTCTTTCACTCCGCCTTGCCTGCCTTTGTTCCTTCTGGCTCCTGGCCCTGTGCCCCTCCAGCCGGGCAGACTTCAGGTTCCTTAACTTCTGGCTCTGGCCTCCCCAGCACGACGTGAAGGCACTGCAGCCTGCGGCCTGCTCAGGACCCCTTCAGGCCTTGGACTGGAGTGGTACCAACATTGGACAGCTTGTAGACAGCTTGTGGTAGGACTTCTGCCTTGTGACCATATGAGGTAATTCCTGTAATAAATCCCTTTTTTAAAAATAAAGTTTTAATTGCCAGAGGGCGCATGTCCCCTCCAGAGGGAAGGCATGTGGGGCATGTTCATGCCGTAATCTTTCTCTGTGTCCATCCTGTCAGGATTTGAGGCATGCACACACGTGTGCCTGGTGTGCTTTCTGAGCCACCAGGACGAGGACTCGAACTGTAACCAGCCATCTGGGCTCTGGCTCTGCATACACGAGCTTCCTACTGTGCTGCCCACCAGCCTTCCTTTTTTTTTTTTTTTGGAGAGGTTTTTTCTATAGGGCTTTGCGTGTGCACTCGCCAGAAAGAGACAGAGACAGAAAGCGAGAAATCACCCCCAGGGGTGCCCAAGATCCCCTTCTCCTCTGGGGATCTTGGGCACACACGCATACACGCCCAGTGTGAGTTTAAGCCACCAGGTCCAGGACTCGAACTGCAGTCGACTACATGGGAGTCCAGCGACATAGCCATTACACCAACTCCTGGTCCCCAGCCTCCCTTTTACACACACAAACACTGGTCCTGCTAGTTCTGCTTCTCTGGAGAACCCTGACTGGCACAGTCCCTAACAGTCTTAGCTCTTCTCAAGCAGAGGAGAGGATCCACCATGGAGACCGGGGGCAAAGGAGCCTCTGAGCCACCAGACTGAGCCAGGGGGCTTGAAGGGACATGAGAGAGAGACCCCCAGCAAGGATTTCATGCTGTGATCCACAGCATGATGTGAGGAATCTCTGGGGGGATGGCCATGCTGCAATCTCTTCATTCTCCCCTCGGGATTTTGGGCACGCACGTACATGCGCCTGGCATGAGGTTTAAGCCTCCGGATCCAGAACTCAAACTGTGGCCAACTATATGGGAGTCCAGTGATGTAACCATTATGCCATCTGCTGATCCCAGTATCTTTATTTTTTTAAGTAATTTAAGTGATCTCATTTTTTGCTATTTCTCATGAATTTCATGTGATTAAACTCTTGAATCTGAAATTTGCTTTTTATGGACTGAAGACTTAAACAGGATGGCTGTCAGATTTAAAATGTAGTTCGATTTCCTATATACAATGAACAAGAGTTTATTCCACGGGAGAACAGATTACATTGTAGTACTTAACCCAAAACTCACACAGTTCACCCAAAATTAAGGTACAGTCTCCCTCAGGATTATGTAGCTTTCCCTGAGTTATGAATTCAACATTCGAGAATTTTCTTTTGGTAGCAAGAGCGGCAGAGAGGACAACAGTGGAAAGGAGACTTCTCGCCCAAGGAGAACTCCTCGAGAGCCAGGAGACAGGCGTGGTGGAACACGTGGGAGCAGGACAGGAGCACTGTCTCCCGTGGCCGCCGGCCCCCG